TATTTATATTATATTATATTTATTTAAAAAAAAAAAAAGTCATTTTTTGTGTTTTGTGTTTGTTTTTACTGTATATTTGTTCACATAAATGCAAGCTTGGTGAGCATAAGAGACTTCTTTTAAAAACATAATTTCTTACAGTAAATTATAAATGCACACAAAAATATAAAAATACATTTAATATAAAAATAGATCAATATTATTTATGTGTGTGTACACACACACACACACACACACACACACACACACACACACACATGTTGTGTATTCATCACGTTTTTATTTTTATTTATTTTTTTTACTTTTTGCTTTTGTGCAATAAACAATTTTGTTACTGTTGGGTCAAAAGTAAAAATTCGTTTTTTAGATTGAGAATCACTGATCTAAAGCATTAAGGGTTACTACATTCATTGATTAGTCTAGGTAAGATGTATTCTTGTGGATATAATCTGTGCAGGGCACCAGACATGCTTTTCTTGCAAGGCTTCTAAACTTAGAAAGGTGAAGACGGTAGTACTTACGTTGACTTCTGTGATCGCAATATCTACGACGCTACCGACAACAATTAAGGCGTCAAACGTGTTCCATGCGTCAGTGAAATAATGCTGTTAATAAAAGACACACCACACACAAGGAGGAGGGGGAAAGAAATGATTGGAGAAAGAATGAGGGTGAAAAGAAAGAAATACAGATGTTAGATCTCAGCAGTCAAAGAAATCAGCTGTCAGTTGAAAAGTAGCTCATCCTGAGCTGAAAGCGAGTCTGTCTGAAGTAAAGGGCTGAGACGGGTGAGCAGATATTAAGAGGGGACAGGGCCTACAACTGTGCTGTACTTACATCAATCTCACTCAGCACTATGTCTACAATGCTGCCGATCACAACCAAAGCATCAAAGACGTTCCAGGCGTCCCCAAAATACCCCTCAGAAATGCAAAGGGGCGGACGGCCAGGAAATATATGTGATGATTAGCAATTAGTTGCTGTACATAACTGATCATGCAGAAATTCTTTTTTTTTTTTAAACTGTTTTTTTTAAGCTTCCCAGCTAACAAAATGATGTTAATAAGAATTAAGTTATAAAAATGTTATTTCTGTATGTTCTCAGAACAAGTTTTGAAATGTTTCGAAAAACGTTATTTCTTGTTATTTGAACCACAGTCAACTAAAACAAAAAAAAAACAAAAATTTTTTTTAAATAAAACTAAATACACATATAAAAAATAAATTTTTGATTGATTTAAACTTGATTGACTAAAAAAACTGGGAAAAAATTATAAAAACTATATAGACACATTTTTAAAAAACATAAATGACATAAAAGCACAAAATTAAAATTAAAACTTTAGTTAAATTAAAACGTAAATGGAAAATATAAAGAAAAAAATAATTCAAATATTTAAAAAAAAACTACAATAGTATCAAATGACAAAGAAAAATTTGATTTTAAAGAAAACAATTAGGGAATGTTAAATTATCATTGCGCAAATATCATGAAAATAAAACTTTTGCACGTTTTCTGAACCATCTAATAGAAGCAGTAAGAAATTATGTAAAAAAAAAACAGAAATAATGTTTAAAAAAAAATGCATTATTTTATAAAAACATTATAAAATAATGTATAAAAACTTTCTCGAGTACTTACGTTGACTTCTGTGATCGCAATATCTACGACGCTACCGACAACAATTAAGGCGTCAAACGTGTTCCATGCGTCAGTGAAATAATGCTGTTAATAAAAGACACACCACACACAAGGAGGAGGGGGAAAGAAATGAATGGAGGAAGAACGAGGGTGAAAAAAGGAGTGAAGGACACACAGAAAGAAATACAGATATTAGATCTCAGCAGTCAAAGAAACAAGTTGTCAGTTGAAAAGGAGCTCATCCTGAGCTGAAACTCAGTCTGTCTGAAAGAAAGGGCTGAGGTGTGTGAGCGGATATAAGAGGGGACAGGGCCTACAACTGTGCTGTACTTACATCAATCTCACTCAGCACTATGTCTACAATACTGCCGATCACAACCAAAGCATCAAAGACGTTCCAGGCGTCCCCAAAATACCCCTCAGAAATGCAAAGGGGCGGACGGCCAGGAAATATATGTGATGATTAGCAATTAGTTGCTGTACATAACTGATCATGCAGAAATTCTTTTTTTTTTTTAAACTGTTTTTTTTAAGCTTCCCAGCTAACAAAATGATGTTAATAAGAATTAAGTTATAAAAATGTTATTTCTGTATGTTCTCAGAACAAGTTTTGAAATGTTTCGAAAAACGTTATTTCTTGTTATTTGAACCACAGTCAACTAAAACAAAAAAAAAACAAAAATTTTTTTTAAATAAAACTAAATACACATATAAAAAATAAATTTTTGATTGATTTAAACTTGATTGACTAAAAAAACTGGGAAAAAATTATAAAAACTATATAGACACATTTTTAAAAAACATAAATGACATAAAAGCACAAAATTAAAATTAAAACTTTAGTTAAATTAAAACGTAAATGGAAAATATAAAGAAAAAAATAATTCAAATATTTAAAAAAAAACTACAATAGTATCAAATGACAAAGAAAAATTTGATTTTAAAGAAAACAATTAGGGAATGTTAAATTATCATTGCGCAAATATCATGAAAATAAAACTTTTGCACGTTTTCTGAACCATCTAATAGAAGCAGTAAGAAATTATGTAAAAAAAAAACAGAAATAATGTTTAAAAAAAAATGCATTATTTTATAAAAACATTATAAAATAATGTATAAAAACTTTCTCGACCATTAACTGTAAAAACATAACTTTGAGAGAAGCTTGCCAGATCACTAGCTTGTTAGTTCTGAGAACATTCCCGGTTAGCTGGGTTTTTATTTATTTATTAAAGTATCAATCGGCACACAAACTAAATACTAGTAAATATGAAAGTTTACTATATTACACAATAACAAATTCATGCATATCTTCTACTGTTATCTGTTTAAAAACTGAATGTGTTTAAGAAAAACTGCTAGTCACGCCACACAGAAAAGCTGAAAATGACAGCACTGCAAATCACGCTGAGCTGCTTACTAGCATTCTGTCCTTCTTCTCAACACAAATCTGCATGTGTCAAAGTGGACAGTGGGGCAGAGGGAAGTTAACATGACAAACCTACTATCAGGGATATATTGAGGAGGGAAGTGTATTTATACTGCACTGTGATGAATGTCCAAATGGGAAATGATGTGATTATATGTGACAGTATGTATCTATGTGTTTGAATTTCTTACCCGGGGTTTGAAGGCGATCAGTTTGAGTACCATCTCCACAGTGAAGACGGCGGTGAAGACCATATTCAGGATATCCATAACATAATTGAACAACTCGGACTGACCGTAATGCTGGACAGAGAAATGCATGCTATTCAATTCTAGAAATGTTGTGAAATGGCAATTTATTGGACAAAAATGACTATACAGTACACTCTGCAGACCAGTGTTGTTTTTATTAGCTAAAACGCAAATAAATAAAAATAAAGTTAAATAGAAATATTTAAAACTAATAAGACAAAAGCACATAAAAATACTAAAACTTAAACTATAATTGAAAATATAAAAATTAAAAAGGTATTTCAAAATACCAATAAATACTATAATAGTACATAAAGACTGTTTGACGTGTATAATTAAATATATTAATTATATTACTGTATGTTAAATTTGTAAATATATACTGTAGATATGTAGTTAATAACTATAATATATAAAAATGTTTTATATTTTTAAAAAATATATATTTTATATCTCAATGCTAACAAACGGACTAAAAGCCCAAAAAAATAAATTGTATTTCATAGGGACTGCAATGAGGTAATTCATATGAAGTGTACAGGTAATTAATAATACAAGGCCCTTAATATACATATTTATATCTCATTAAATAAAATTACACAATGAGCATATGAAGTGGGTTTGAATTAGGCCTGGGCGATAAAACGGTATCGATATTTATCGACGGTACACTTTCTTCGATAACGATAGAAAAAATGTTCGATATAGCGCGCGATATAGGCATGTGCTATGAGTGACGCAGACAGCACACACAAACACAAACACATGCTGAAATGAGTGCTGTGCCTGCCTGTGATGAGGAGATTGTGAATAATGAATATTAGTGGAATTTAAAATAAACATTTGCATTTGAATGTTAGGTGTGCATCAGGGAGCATCATCAGTGGCGCACGAGATGCGGTGATAATGATGTAAGTGACGTTGTTGCATTTTAATGTTTTGTTAGTCTAGCCCACGAGACGCGCCGCTGCTGCGTTATTCTTTCAAAATATTAGAGAAATATAGAAGCACAATGCGGAGAAGATCTTGAATGGGTTAAAACCGAAACCAAGCCATTCACACAAGCCATGCAAAGTTAAAACAGTTTAAACGTTTAGAAAACACGTCACGAATTTGTGGAGGTTTATTCTTTTTCACTGCGTCTCATATGTTTTTAAATGCAATCTGTGTGAATGGAGCTTCGGTTCTTTGGATTAAGCAATGCATAAATACATGATGCTGTTTTTGTTCATAATTGTTTATGCAATTTACAAAATTATATTTGAGTTCATTTAGACATAATGCACGTTTTTTTTATAGAGTTACTTCCTTGCGTTGACAATTTAAATGCGCTGCATTATTTTGCTCATTGCGCCCTCATGTGGCCTCGGGAGACAAGACAAAAGTTTCCTTAAAATCTATTTAATCTGCATGTAAAACATTAGAAATGAGATATTAAATTTTTATTTTGTGTTTGATTGTTAAAACTAAAAATATTTGTTGTTTGTCTCAATAAATTGGGTTAATTTAAAAATACAGTGGTTAAATAAAAAAAAAAATTCTATTGCTCTTTGTTTTAAAAAAGGTTATAAAAAATGTCAATAATTATCGATACCGAACGATATGAAACATTATATCGTTGATACATTTTTTAGCTATATCGCCCAGCCCTAGTTTGAATATTTAAATCTAAACAATTATTATTTCAACACTGAACTAAGAGTACTCATCTAAGAATAAAGAAAGTTACCTGAACAGCGAGACAGATGGTGTTGAGTAAGATCAGGACAAACATGATGTACTCGAAGCCGGTGGAGTTCACCACATACCAGAACTTATACTGATACGGGTTCTTTGGGATGTACCTCCTGAGAGGACGCGCTTTTAATGCATACTCCACACACTGACGCTGAGGAACACACAGATGAAATGATGCTTTTCATTCTGTCAATTAACATACATTATCATATAGTGTTATGGATTCTCTACTGTAAATTTTTAATTAAGTGGACGTCAACTCATATGCATAATCATGTATAATGCAGAAATAAACAGTATAAAGTACAAAGAACGTGCAGAAACTCAATGGCTGGCTCTGTTCCAAACTTTTCAATTGCTGTTTACATAGGTGGCACTAAAATGAAACTCGACTAACATTCACAGCTGATGTTAGCAGACTGCTAAGCTAACAACATGAAATTACAACAAGCACAACAAAATTGTCACACAAATACTGACTGAATAATTTATTCTCCATTACTTTTCAGTTCTGAATAAAATAGTTACATTTGATCCACCATCTTGGATTAACATTTTGAACTAAAAATAAAACAATTAAGGCTGAAATAAAGCTGAAGTAAAATAAAATATAAATCTGAGAGGAAAAACTTAAAAATGTTGAACTGGCAATTAAATGAAATAACTAAGTTTAAGTTGCAAAAACTGAAAAATAAATTAAAGCTAAAAATAAATATATACTGCATAAAAATTCAAAATAGAAATGTTGCCCTGGCAACTAACTGAGTTTTAGTACTAAAATTACTAAAAAATAAAACTGAAATAATAAATCAAAGCTTTAAAAATCTAATAAAAACAACAAAAGCACATATTACTAAAACTAAATTTAAAATGAAAACTAAAAATATAAAAATGAAGCTAAACATAACATTAATTAAAAATCTACATTTAAAATATGAATAAATACTATAAAAGTACATACTAAAATAATCAGTGAAAGTTATATGCAATGCTGTCTTAGATTTAAAAATGAGGGATCCCTATAAACCAGCACAATTTTGTTGCAAACTGATTAGAAAAGGCTTTTGCATTGGGAGTGAGCCTATGATGCCTAAAAATAAAGTCTAGATAAGCAGCACACTAGGTTTTGTGACAAAGGTTTTTCACACTCTCTTATAGTGTCTTCTCTCACCTGGTTCTTGTCCAGCTCACAGTTTTTGTACTCTTTCTCTCCCTGTTCCTGAAAGGTCACAATGACGAAACCCACGAAGATGTTCATCATGAAGAAGGCGATGATGATGATGTAAATGATGAAGAAGATGGAAATCTCCACACGGTAGTTGTAGATCGGACCCATGTTCTCCCGGTTGGAGTCTATGGCCTTGTACAACAACCTTAGGAAAGACAAAATGCAGAAGTAAACTAAAAGAAAGGAGAGCCAAGGAAAAACTACTGTACTTCATCACCCACAGTTACGGAAAAGCTATATTGTGTCATTCTGTCACTGTGTGTGTGTGTGTGAGTGTGTGTGTGTGTTAAACTAACAGAACATTTGAAGCAGTGTGGTGTTGTAATTACAGGGACAGCGTGGTACTGTTGGCATCGAGTTCACAGTGGCACTTACCAACAGCGCCAATACAAACACAAAATTCACAATAACACACGTGTTCATTTCTGTCAGGACCACTATCGTCAAAGATGATTGACAATTAGCATACAGTTTGGATTGGCGGTATGGTTCTGTTCTGGGCATCCTGAACTCCCTGCGCATCCATGCAGCCTAGCATGGATGAGAGCAGGGTGGGGATGGAGGAGGGTAATTAGCTATTGAGCAATGCGAAAACAGCTAATAATACTGAGGGACCTTATATATGAATGCTTAGATAGGTGTCGTATTCCCATAGGTTGATGCGGATCAGCTGAGAGTCAGCTGATGCGAGCTTGACTAACGTGACCTGCCAGAAATAACGCTACGCTAGATTTCCCCTGTGGTTTTGAACGAGGAAACTCGACTGTCTGAGTAAGAACGTGCAATACCAGAACTATTAGCCATTTCACAATATCCAATTACATTGAGCCATTTTCAAAATCACCAATATTACAGACTAATGCTGATTTAACGATACATAACAATAGGTTTCAAAAGAATAGGTTTCTGATTACTGCTTATATTGATGAACTGGAATTTTTGCTCCTTTTTAAATGGATGCATAAAGAGTAATAAATGTAATACGTATGTAAGGTTTAATATATGTGCTTAGATTTGATCTATATTATTGTCTATAAAAATAAAATTAAATAAAGGTGCAATTCTATATCTGATCTATAAAAAGTTATATGTAACATAAAATAAAACAACATATAAAATAAAATAAAAAATTAAATAAGCCATTCTGTATCTGATATATATTGAGGTGCAGAAAAAATAAAATGTGCTATTTCAAACCCGTAAGACATTCGTTCATCTTCGGAACACAAATTAAGATATTTTTGATGGAATCTGAGATCTGTCTGACCCTGCATAGACAGCAACGAGCTACGAGAATACTTTTTGTGCGCAAAAAAAACAAAAAAAAAAACACTTTATTCAACAATTCGTCTCCTCCGCGTCACCCTGTAGCGCCATTTTGGAGACTATCCGCTGGACGTAAACAGCGTATGCTGTTCTGGGTCAGCTGGTCAAGCCGGATCTGTTTCCTACGTTGTTGTGATTTGATCTGAACAAAAACAGCGTATCCGTGTGATGCAGCTGACACAGAACAACGTTTCTGGACTACGTTGCGGTCTATGCAGGGTCAGACAGCTCTCAGATTCCATCAAAAATATCTTAATTTGTGTTCCGAAGATGAACGAAGGTCTTAAGGGTTTGAAACGACATGAGGGTGAAAAATTAATGACAGAATTTTCATTTTTGGGTGAACTATCCCTTTAAGGCGAATCAAAATAATGAAAAAAATAAAATAAAGGTGCTATTCTATATCTGATTTTTATTAAGTTGCACAAAATAAAATAACATAAAATAACACAATAAAATGTAAAAATACAGGTTCCATTTTATATCTGATTTATATTCTGTTATATTGTTGAATGCTTACGCTGGCCAGCCTTCAAACGTGGACACTGTGAATAGAGCCCTCATGGCCATGAGCACGTTATCAAAGTTGAAATCGCTGTTGTGCCAGTGGCGCTTCTGAATGATTGGCAGGTTCACGTCTCCATCCTTATACAGGATATATATTCCCCTGAGAGAGAGAAAACGTTATTTTTGCCTCTCTAATAGCGGTTTCCTTTTGTAAAAGTTACTACAATCATTGTAAATTTTATGAGAAAAAGTTCAGTTAGACTCACTTGCACTCTTCTGGGCTGGACTTGGTGTCATCAGTACAGCGGTAAAACTTCCCCTGAAGAAAAAGAAATGTAAAAAATAAATGCCGTCAAAGAATCCTGAAAAAAATGTATTAATGTTTCCACAAAATATTAAACACCACAACTGTTTTCAACATTGATAATAATAAGAAATGATTATTGAGCAGCAAATCAGCATATTAGAATGATTTCTGAAGGATCATGTGACACTGAAGACTGGAGTAATGATGCTGAAAATTCAGCTTTGCATCACAGAAATAAATTACATTTTAAAATATATTAAAATAGAAGATAATTATTTTAAATTATAATAATATTTCAGAATATTACTGTTTTTACTGTATTTTTTATCAAATAAATACAGCCTGGCTGAGAACTTATTTCATAAACACTAAAAAAAACACCATATATAAAATATTTTACCTTGAAGAGCTGTACACCAATGCAGGCAAACATGAACTGTAGCAGTGTGGTGACAATCATGATGTTTCCGATAGTCCTGATAGCCACAAACACACACTGGACCACATGCTGCAGAGGGCAAAGGTTAAAGCTCAGAGGTTGTCAGACAGATGTCAAATTTACAGTTGCTTAAACAACTGGTCCTGCATGTAAGCCTTATTTTCGCCCCATTAACTGAGGACAATTCATCAAAGATCATCAAAAATCAAAGTAAAGCAGTGGCCAGAACCTTCAGTCCTTTAGCTCTGTTTATGGCCCTGAGTGGACGCAGCACCCTCAGAACCCTCAGTATCTTCACCACTGAGATGGCCGACGATCTGCAGGAGACACGAGCATTCACGTTACCAAAAAACATATAAAACAGAAGAAGAAATCCATGATTTAAAGTCCTTATGACACTGTTGTCTTTGACAGGTTCCTAAACTAGCTTAACCGGCAAGTCTTCTGTCGTCAACTAGCTTCATGATGCCATGATAATTTTGCCTCTGAACAGCAAGTCCAACAGCTAGACCAGCACCAAACTAGCATGTGCCATAAGAAAGAACAACCACAAATAACATCTCGTTAATATCTCAACTAGGCCATCTAGGCCAGTTTATCTAAGCTATGCTAGCCACATTGATTAATAAAAAAAACAAACAATGAGAGTAAACATCTGAGGCAAAGCTAATACTTAAATGAAGCAATTTATAACTCCTAATCCATGAAAAAATCTAACTGCAATTTTTTTTGTGTGATTTAAAATGTAATTAAAAAAGAAGAAGCTCCAGGTTTGCTGGAATTGATTGTAGTGTGGCGTTATTTGGCCCAAAAGTTTTGTAATTACATATCAAAATGACTATATAATAATAAAAATAAAAAAATAAAATAAAATAAAAAATATTCATATTGTAATACTTTGCTATTAAAAAAAAAAAAAAAAGAGTACTTAAGAAAAAAAAGAATGATTACTAAATACAAATATAAAAAAATAAATATTACTATGACAATATTTCACTGTAAAAAGAAAATCATTATTATTATTATTTCAAAATCAAAGTATTAAAATAAGAAATATTACCTTTGTAATATTTCATTTTAAAATAAAAATAGTATTTAGGTAATAATAATAATAATAATTATTATTATTACTATTATTTCCTTTATAGTACAATTGTAAAAACTCTAATATTTACACTAACTTTTATGGCTGTTTTTATGGCTATTTTATAAAAATCATTACAGATTCTTTTTTGTTGACAACAGTGAGTTTAACTCATTACAAATTTGGAAAGTCGGAAAGATAAGCGACCCAAACTGAAAGCAGATTCAGAGACAGAGTTTTTGTGAAGCAGTATTTATAGGGAGCTGCTATGAGACGCGGAAAACACCGGATCATGAGCTGCTCCAATGTAGATGAACACAACCGGAAAGCACGTAGTGCATATATTTATTGAATTACATTTCATTCTTTGGGATTTACTAATCAGACTATATTGCGATTCCGGTTTTATATTAATTTACTGCGCAGCCTTAAAATACCACCTCTCTGATTCTCTGTCAATTTGTTCATACCCTTCAAAAATGGCAGAGAAGGCGATCCCAAAGGACAGGAAATGACCTGCTGCTTTTCCTGTCTCTCTTTTTCACCTCACATTCACATAATGTAAAACTTAAAGGGATAGCAATCACTCACTGAATTCCGAAGGACACCAGCGACACGCCGACCACCAGCAGATCAAGAAGATTAAAGTAGTTCCTGCAGAAAGCCCCCTTGTGGAGAAACGCGCCATATGTGGTCATCTGACAAAACAAGCATAGATGGTCAAAACTTGCTCCACCGTAACCAAAGACATCCAGAAAACAGCAAATCACACTCTCAGACAGAAAACACGCTCTCACACACACTAACACACATATGCACTCCTTAATATCACTCTTTTTTAAGGGTGGCGTGCTTGGAGTTGGACTAAAGGCGAGATCCTAGCACTAACTCCGCCAAACCCTCACGGCCTGAGTCAACATGAATGTAGTAGTAAGCTCTGTTTCACAATCCACCACTAGGGGGCCCGGCAATAAAACATGCTGTTTGTTGCCGAGCTTTGAAGGGGCCTAAATTATGACAGAAGAAATTAGGACAGACAGAAGGAATACAGGAGGAGAAGACGAAAGAGCAAGAAAAGACAAAAAGAGTCCGAAAGAAAGGGAACCTATCTATTAGGCGATCTGAAATGAGAACTTCCCTTACTGTCACATTCATGTGAGCCGTTTTTTTTCTTGAGAACATTGCGCCTTGTTCCCTCGGCAAGATTCGGTAAAAAAAAGAGGGGGAAGAAGCTCCTACTGCAACTTCATATTCAGCAGGCAGAGAAAAGACCAGCCAAAACCAAAGCAAGTCGCTCCAAAATCATGAATGCAAAGGAGTCATTTGCAAAATGTATATGAATACAGATGCAACCATACACCACGAAGGCAAGCACTGGGTTACGCTAACGTTAGGCTGCTGATCAGAGACCAATTTTGGGTAAATACATAGAACATTTTAGGTAAAAACTTTTAAGTAGTAGCTGCTGGTCCAAGATCAGCACTTATCATAATATCTCCACAAAACAAGAGGCTATGTTCGGAATTTTATATTAGCCTACTATTTACTAAATACTGCACAGTACACACTGTATACTGCTTACTTGTCTTTAAAATCATAAAAGTGACGTTTTCTTGTTTTCTACTGTAGCCATGGACTAAAAGCAACAAAACACGAATTTAATGAGGTCTTTTAAAAAATTAATAAATAAGTGAAACTGTTACATGATAAATGTTTAAAATAGTAGTATGCTAATAGTGTTGTCACACACTGCATAGTGTGTATTTTACCTTTACTTTCTGTCAATTTTGTATTAAAATGTGTTACATTTTGGCAATCTGATCAAAAATGTGTCAATTACATGTAATTATGAAAAAATATGAGTTGTATTTATTGCTGGGTTCATTCACGACACTAAGATGGTCAAGTCTTGCACACTGAATTGTGGGTAGTGTCTTGATGTCTTGAATACTATGTGTGTGTGCTCATCAAATGTGTAAAAATGATGTCTATCTAAGATATTAAAACAATAAAAGTAGTTGCCTAGTGACTTTAACAATTGCAAACATAATATATAGATTTAATCAATATGAAAGAATGATATACATTTTTCTGGTATTGTCCAAAAAAATGTTCTGTTGAAATAGCTAAATAATTTATTTATCACAGAAGCCTAACTAAAACAATATAAAATAAAATACAATATACTGTACATATATTACATGAAAAATGTCAACTTAAATTTGACCGGCAATTAGAATTGATGTATTGGCAGAACACTTATCATTTTCATTTATATCATTTTAATGAACTAAAACTGAAAAATAAATTCAAGCTAAACATCTGTTCAAACAGCTCAATAATTTCTTTGATCACAGAACCCAACTAATAATTCCTCAGATTTGTCTTAATGTAGCTAAAATCAGTGTTGTTATCATTAACTAAAACTACTGTAAACCTATTAAAATATTTTTCAGTTATTTAAATAAAGCTGAAATAAAATAAAATATAAGACGAAAAACTTAGAATTGCAGCTTTGAAAACTATAATGAAATAAATCAGTATTAAGTTACTAAAACTGAAAAATAAATTACAGCTAAATAAAAACAAAACACAGCATTCTGTGCCATACAGATAATCTGTGTACTGTGCACAGTATTGATACTCTAAACTGCAGGAATAGTACAAATAGTACTGTAGACTGACTTTCTGAACACAGCCAGAATAATATTAAATAACTGTGCTGCCCCGTTCGGCGCTGGAGGTCACATCGCACTGATATGCACTCAGTCAAGGGGTTTGAACCATGTTCTAAGCATGGTTGTATTTGCCCCCTCTTTTATGGACTGGATACGAGCCAATCGCTTATGAAGGCATGAGAGAGGCAGTGTTGTTTTCATTTCACAAAGAGTTGCATAGTTTTGTCTTTTTGAAATTTGTGTCTTTCCTCAACGAAAAGCATTTTAGTTTCACAGACACATCCTGTGCGATTTCTCCAGATCGGTTTCCTTCCTTAACCCCACTTTGACCAATCAGGGTTGAGCTCAAGCCCTGTCGTTCTCCCCAAAAGAAAGGTGAAAACCTGACAACTCTTGTGCTTTGATGAAGATGTGCTTCTGAGACATTTCTTTTCTTTTAGTCTTTTAGTAAAAGAGGTGCCATGGTTTAAAAAAAGAGAAAGAAAAGAGATTGATCAAGCCAGGTAGTACTGAAGTAGCAGGTGACACACATGGAGATAATGCAGCCAGGCCTGTGTGCCGAGAGGTTACCTTCAACACGATCTCAAATGTAAACATACTAGTGAAGACATAATCTGCATAGCCTAGGACCTGGAATAAACCAGACGGTTACAGCGTTACTGCACATACACCACACACAACACCAGCACAGGGCAGGACATTTACCTTTAACACGATCTCTACAGTAAAGATAGCCGTGAAAGCATAGTCAAAGTAACCAAGTATCTGCAAAGAGCAACGTACATGTTTAACAAGGACATTCAGCAATCATCATTTATTACCAGAATACAAATATCTTTAGAAATGGCTGCAATATAACAAAGAGTGAAAAATTTAAGGGGGTCTGAATACTTTCCGTACCCACTGTATGTTGTTTAGTTTAGTTCATTATTCCAGGTGTACCAGTGTATCTGTTACGGTAACACCACAAAAACATTAGGGTTTCAGTGAAGGTAGTTCCCTTAGTTTGAAAGAAAAGGGTTAGCAAACATGAAGAGATGAAGGAATAACATACGCACAAAGCAACTAGTCATATACAACTCTACTAATCTCTCTTATTGTCTGTAAATGCTTTGGAAGGCTCATTTCATTATAATTTTTTTTATATTCACAATCTGAGTACACCGAGTAGTTCTTAACCAAAAAAACTAAACAAAACAAACAAAAGTAGTATTTTACAATATTCGCATCATGTGAAAATCAAAAGTTTACTTGATAACGATTAAATATCACTTACCATGTTGTTTTAGTTGAATTAATGAATGTTTTGGACATTAATAAGTAATCTTAACATAGTGTGTGTGCAAGCTGTACTTACAATATTCCGGGCAGAGAAGTTTCTGATTGGGTCCTCAGCTGCCAAGGAGGCGGAGCTTAGCATAATGAAGACAAGGATGAGGTTGGTGAAGATGTGGTGGTTTATCAGCTTGTGGCACGCGACACGAATTCTACAGAGAGAGAAAAAGACGCACTGAAACACATCTTGAACACTATGTGTGTGTTTTCAAGGTCCAGAAGCTTTACATGTGTGACTTTGATTAATAAGAAACGTGGATTTAAAGGGGTCATATGATGCTTTTTTAAAGATCATTATTTTGTGTATTTGGTGTAACAGAATATGTTGACATGCTTTAATGTTCAAAAAACACATTATTTTTCAAATACTGTACATTATTGTAGGTCCTCTATGCCCCGCCGCTCTCAAACGCTTAGTTTTCTACAAAGTCCCTCCTTCCGACAAGCGCAGTCTGCTCTGATTGGCCAACTGACCCAGTGCATTGTGATTGGCCAAACACCACAAGCACGCGTCGGAAATGTAACCCCTCCTACCATAATCGCAAGCTTCAAGCTTTCAAAGTAAATATCAAGACAGTTAATAATGTCGTTAGTTTTACCATCAGTTCAAGCCCGAAAGAGGAACAGAGTCGCGTGACAGACACAGTAATGAAGCTGGTATGTGTGCAGTACACAAGCCACGGTTAAGACAGCACACACGCACACACACACACGATGCGCAAAACTCCACATTTGAACAGTCAATAGCAAATACTTAAACCAATAACAAAACAGTAGCTGATTCAGAAGCGCCAGATTGTCATAGCAAAGTCAGAATTACCTCCTCTCCTAGGTTCACAAAACGGTCGTCCATAAAATGCATTGCTGTTCTGTTGTAAGTAATCTTAAAGATTCCTAAATGCATCTACTTTCGGAAGGCCAAATAAAGTGCTTTTGCTTTCGCCTAGAAACACACAGCGTCTCCCTGACATGGCTGCTTCAACACTAACTGCGGTTACTGAAACCACGCCTTCTTTCTTTGCGTGCACATTTGGGCCGCACTATGCTAATATTTCCACATAGTGAGGTAGATATGTGGGGGCGTGTTAGAACGAGCCGTTTTAGGGGGGCGTGGCAGAGTCTTAACTTTGATAAAGAATATCTCTTTGGTTTTGAGACTTTAGTCTTTGCAACTTCAGGGATCTTATCTATGCACAATCAGCTTGTAACACTCCAAAGAGAAAGGAAAACTTGAAATCGCATCATATGACCCCTTTAATCTAAATGCAAAAACAACAGTCTGACCCATGCTCAGGTTTTTCTTGTATTGTCCAAAAGGGGAAAAAAAAATGTTGTGGTGACACATTCCTGGCAACTAAAACAAACATCTGAAGAACAAATTTACAAAGTTTCTGTGACAGGTTCTGTCCAAACATCTAAATAATTCCTTTATCACAGAAGTCTACTAATTTTAATGAAATAATGCATATTAGTGTTTCTTGTCATTTTTCACAAATGGTGATACTTTTACTCAAATCAGTTACTCAAATTACTTAAACCAAAATATAAATAAATTAAAGCTAAATATAAATAAATAAAAAAAACTAAACAAAATTATAAAAACTAAAATTAAAAATAAATCTGATAATATAAATATAAAATCCACTTCAAAATATTAATAAACGCTATAATGCTATATTAATAATAGTAAAACAACTCTGACTCAAATAGTAGAGGATAGTGTTGGAAACTCCAAGGTAAATGGGTAAATGCATAAATGGATATGAATACATCGAATATAATGCAAGTAGTTTTGGATAAAAGCATCTTCCGAATGCATAAATGTAATGTAACGCATTCGTGTTTATGTAAATGTCTACATGTCTCTTTGCTTCTGTCTAGTTCAGTGTATGTTTGAGCAGACTTCAATGTGACACGTACGGGTTTGTGCTGCTAAAGATGAAGAACGCACTGCCCTCTGGGATTGGAGTGATTTTCTCCTTCTTAACAAGCTCTGAGATCTGTGGGCGGGGCCCCGCAGGAACGTCCGGCTCATCTTCATCCTCCTCTGTTACATGGACACGATGATCAGGACAAGCATACGTAAAAATATAGTCTTCAATGTGCAACCAGATGCAGATGTATAGTAGTTCTTTACCTGCATTGTCTTTCTCATCCTCCTCTCCAGCCTGAAGAAGAAACAAAGATTATTAAATGCTACTACTAACACAGAAGCATATAAAATGCAAACACAAAAAAGCAAGTTACCTTGGCATCATCTTCATTTTCATCACTTGGAAAAAAAGAAAAGCACACTGAGAAATGCAGCACACAAGCAGCGGAAATTAGATTCTGGCCTTCAACGGCTGATTAAATGATCTCTACAAGGTTTTATCATTTACCCTTTCTTCTTATCGTTGCTGTCTGTGTTCAGAGACTCTGCGTCGGCAAGGTTGTCCACAGCGATAGCCAAGAACACATTCAGAAGAATGTCTAGGTGTCGATGTGTTAAGCAAACCAACAGCATTATAATGCTCATAGCAAACAACACACTGTCTATTTGGGATTTCCAAAAAAAATGATTTTAATGATTTTACAAATAACTGTGGGAAAATGGCTTTAAAAAAATCTCCTTTTGTTTTCTGTGGAGCAAATAACTGCATATAGGTGTGCAGATTATATGATCAAAACTATTTCCCAAATTCATTTAAATTGCACATTGTCTACACATTTGCGGATACACATTGAAGATATTTTTAAAGAGGTTTCTTATGCTCACCCAGGATGCATTTATTTGATAAAAATACAGTAAAACAGTACTTTTGTGAAATATTATTATAAATAAAAAAAGAGTTCTATTTGAATATATTTTTAAAAGCAATTTATTACTGTGATGGCAAAGCCACTTACTATTTTTAGGGAAAGAGTGATAACAGAATATTTTTTTCAGGATGAAATTTAAATTTAAAAAGAACGGGATTCATTTGAAAGAGTAAATGCATTTATAAGGTTGCAAACGATTTGTTAATTTTGATCAACTTGTTAGTTAATTTCAAGAAACAAAACTATTCTTGCAACCAAGATAGTGAACAACTAATCCACAACTAGGTTAAAATTATAAAAATTCCCTATTTTGGTTTTCTGTTTGCTACTTGGCTTCATTAGGAAGTCAGCAGCAGTAAGAGGATACAATTTCCACATATGAAGAGAATGATGAAGTAGATGCACACGATCATTCCTGACGATGATGGGCCGCCGTACGCCATAATTCCATCGTACATGACGGCATTCCAGTCTTCACCGGTCAGAATCTGAAAACAACATACCATTAACATGAGTAACCACATATCCATCAAAATCAAACCTGAAGTCTTCATAGATAAACATGGACAGACCTGAAACACAGTGAGCAAGGCCTGAGGGAAGTTGTCAAAGGTGCTCCTCTTCGTTTGTGTCTCGTCAAAATTAAACTTGCCACCAAACACCTGCATACCAAGGAGGCTGAAGATGATGATGAAGAGGAAGAGCAGCAGCAGTAGAGAAGCAATGGACTTCATGGAGTTCAGCAGAGATGCCACCAAGTTACTGAGAGATGCCCAATGACTAAAGGCAAAAAACAGACCATGTAAAAAACAAATTTCCTAAACATTTTATGGGTTTGGAAAATCATGAGGGCGAGTAAAAAAAATTTTTTTGGGATGAACTATTGCTTTAACACAATTTTCATTCCTCTATTCCGATCCCTTACCGTGTGACTTTAAAGATCCTGAGAAGTCGCACACATCGAAACACTGAGATGCCGAGAGGTGACATAATCTCAAACTCGACTAGGATCGTCTCTGTGATGCCTCCGCACACCACAAAGCAGTCAAAGCGATTAAACAGAGACACAAAATAAGCCTGCAGACCCAGACTGTACATCTTCACCAACATCTCACACGTGAACAGGGCCAGCAGCACTTTATTGGCCACATCTACAGGAGAAAGAAGAAAGGATATAGCGAGAATGTGAAGCTTGATCTTTTACATATATTACGAGAGCACAAACACACGCAGCGCTCACCCTGGACTTGCGTGAGCCACAGGGGCTGGTTGTAATGTTCTGAAGAGATAGTCAAAGTGTTGAGGAACACCAAGATGATCACCAGCCAATAGAATGGCACAGATTTCACAGCCAAACGACAATTCCTTCGACACAACCGGTTCCAGCGACGCCAGCGCCGACTGAAAAAGAGGAAGCAGTGAAGTCAGACAACATAGACACGAGAAGAAATGACAACAGAATGATACATTGAAAGAATGAGATTAAAAACCTAGATAAAACTCTGGATAAACAGAATGCTAGCAAGGCCACTAGACAGACAGACAGACAGACAGACAGACAGACAGATAGACAGATAGATAGATAGATAGATAGATCACTAGACAGACAGACAGATAGACAGATAGATAGATAAGATATATAGATAGATAGATCACTAGACAGACAGACAGACATATAGATAGATAGATAGATAGATCACTAGACAGACAGACAGACAGACAGACATATAGATAGATCACTAGACAGACAGACAGACAGACATATAGATAGATCACTAGACAGACAGACAGACAGA